GATAAGAACTAGATGAGGCCTGAGTGAGCTTGTGCGTATGAACAGCTACATTGCATTGCTCAGACAGCTACATTGCACTGCTCAGACAGACGAAGCCACATAGGCCGCAAGCCACTTCAGCATAGTTACGCCTGCGATCGGCCATAGCCCGCAGACGCGGACGCCGCAAATGCTATCTGTTTACACCCTACAGGCGTGGTTCACGTACGTATTCGCGTATATAGAATTTCATATAGAAATTTTGCGTGTTCCTTGCGACTTGCGACTTGCGAGTTGCGAGTTGCGACTTGCAACTTTAGCAGTACCCGCAATTTGTTATGCAAGCAGTCACCTCGCACCCGCAATTTGTTATGCAAGCAGCCATAAGCAAGATGGTTCTCCTCCTGGACGCTCGTGTGCATAAGAATCTCATCCAGAGTAGTAACACAGCAAAGGAGCTCTGGGATGGTTTGAGGAAGATGTACGACGATCTAAACGACGCGGAAGTGGCGTCGCTCGCAGAAGCCTTTGAGCAAATCAAGAAGGGAGACAATGAGGCCGTGGACGCATACGTCACAAGAGCCTACGAAATGTATCTGAAGGTCACACGGCACGAGGACTACAAGATGTCAGTTCCATTGGGTATTTTGAAAAGCGTACGAGGCTTGAGTGATAACGAGTTTGGTACCGAGGAGCGCGTTTTCAGGGCTACTGGGTACCCGAAGACATTTGAGGAGCTAAGGGCGCGCTTGCTGGCGATCAACGCCGAAGCGAATGTTTCTGCAAGGAAGACCGAGTCCGAGCCAGTAGCGGCGTTCATCGCTAATCGCAGTTCCAAGGCACATTTGATATGTTACTCCTGTGGCAACACTGGTCACATCGCCCGCGAGTGCTCCAACGCAAAAGGCGGCACTCCGCAATCTTCAGGCTTCGGTTCTTCCTCTTCCCGTGTACCGCGCTCAACGCCAGCCGACTCAGCGACGTTGAGGTGTGATTGGTGCGGGAAGGACGGTCATGTCGCGTCGCGGTGTTTTCGAAAAAAGGAGGGAAAACCGCGAATTGGTCAAAAGGAAATAGTCGCTCTAACCTTGGTAGCTCGCAAACAAGAATTCACGCCAGGAGACGTGGAACAGCACGCGAATGGAAAACTAGAAGGGTTTTCCTCTTTTGATCACTTTATTCGGCACCGACGTAGGTACATATTCTACGATCCCGTGCATCCGTCCGAGTGGGAGAATGGGTCGCAGTGGTGGCTTGATTCGGGTAGCAGGTACCACATTACGGGGGATAAAAGTGTCCTGCACGATTACACCCCCTTAAGTAGTGATGTTCATATAACTATCGAGGTGGGCAGTGGTCAAGTACTGCCAGCCGCAGGATATGGCACTGTGTACGGGCCAGATAGCTACTATCTGCCTTGAGTACCCCGGTGATACATGTATCAAACCCAAGNNTGTGCACCCTCA